TAAATATGAGTGCTATATTTTTTTGTTATTTTATATATTGTTATAATTTTTTTGAAATCGATGACTTGAGATTAAAGTAGAGTCTGTAAATTTATATATTATTGTTATTTCACTATAATAAGTTTGATGTTAAGGTTATGAGTTGGTTGTGAATGAAGGTTATGTGTTGGTTTTGAAGGTTACAAGTTGATTGTGAAGTTTACGAGTTTGTTGTCAAGGTTACGAGTTGGTTGTAAATGTTACGTGTTGGTTTGTGAACCTCGGTAAGGAGCGGTTGTGAAGGTTCGAGTTGTTTGTGAAGGTTACGCGTTGATTATGAAGGTTATGAGTTTGTTGTGAATGTTACGAGTTGTATGTGAATGTTATGAGTTGGTTGTGAACATTGGTAATGAGTTGATTGTGATTATTATTAACTAACATTCACAACCAACTCGTAATCTTCACAACCAATGTTAGGAATCTTGACCCTAAGATTAGTTTGTTTTGATGATAACAAATATTATATGTTGTGTGTATTATATGCTAATATTTATTTTGCAGTATCAAAGCTATATCAACAATTATATTCAAAGAGATACTCAAGACATAGATGAGTTCAATGTAAAATGAAGCAAAGAAGAAGATATACTTTATTGTCAAAATGTAATTTTATATTTTCTTTACTTAGAAATTTGTACAAGTCTTGATCACTCACACACATGCACACACATAGTGTTAGAACACATTAACACATGCTTAGTATGTTGGTTAACAATAGAAATCCCCTATGTTAACCATTAGAGTTTATAGATATTGAGTGAGTCTTAAAACATTTTATTTATACCCTCTTAGCAGTTCGAATCTAAAAAAACTCAAAAGATCAAAGTAATAGGTCTCTTCAAGAGCTTTCCAACAAATCTTAAATCACCTCATTCCGATGTCGGATGAGAAAGTTACAGCCAAAATACTGAAAAGAAAATTCTAGAATCTGTGAGTTTACAGTGTAGTCGACTACTATGCCTTATAGTCGACTACTAAGCAATTTTCTGACTTCACAGAGTCTGTTTAGACTCGGTGTAGTCGACTACTATGACTTGTAGTCGATTACAGATGTAATTTTTTCAGATTTTAGGTTTTGAATAAGTGACTGTTTATAGTCGTTTTGTGAACGTTAATTAGATTTAAAATTATGTCATTTTCAGATGCTATAAATAGGTTTAAACATCAGAAACAAACACCAAGTTTTGCACTTGTAAGATTCACATATTGTGTAAATTAACTCTCTAAACATTCAATTTTTCGATCTGTTTTTCCATAAAAGAGAGTTTCTGATATTGCCTTTGTTCCTATCATTCTTAGAGTTTGTTTAGGCAATATTCAGAGAGTTAAAAAGATTGATAAGCCACTCTTACACGTTCACATTCACATCCACATCAAGGCTTATAGGATTGGAATTGTACATTACTTCAAAGAAAGGTTCTCTCGGTTTATGAGAGGGGTTGATCTCTTGATCTAGAGGTCGGTTTACAATTGGCATGGTATTGTCAATTGGGTTTGTAATTTATATGATCTTGCAAATTGGTCAGGTTTGCTTTTGATTTTGTAAGGTTTTAAAAATCATAGTGGAAACTCTCAAGCGGGATTTGTTTGGAGACTGGATGTATACACCGGGGAGGTGGAACCAATATGCATGCTTGTGTTTGTGATGTTCATTTTTTGAGATTGTCATTCTTTCTTTTCAATTTATAAACTACTTTGCAAACTCACCCTCTAGTGTTTAAGTGTAAAGCTTCCGTAGATTTTTATCAGAGCGCACTCTATTCTTAAGGGTCACGATCATACACTTGGTATTGTGTATCAAATTAGATCCTACAACCAACTTTTTATCGAGGTTCACAACCAACTCGTAACATTCACAAACAACTCGTAATATTCACAACCAATACGTAACCTTCACAACCAACTCGTAACATTGACAACCAACTCGTAACCTTCACAACCAACTCGTAACATTGACAACCAACTCGTAACCTTCACAACCAACTCCTAACATTGACAACCAACTTGTAACCTTCACAACCAACCCGTAAACGTCACAACCAACTCGTAACCTTCAAAACCAACACGTAACATTCATTCACAACCAACTCGTGACCTTAACAGCAAACTCATTACAATGAAATAACAACAACATATAAATTTACAGACTCTACTTTAATCTCAAGTCATCAATTTCAAAAAAAAAATTCAACAATATGTAAAATAGCAAAAAATATAGCACTCAGATTCAAGTACAAGTTTAAAAAGGAAAAAATTACACAGGGAGTCGTCGGAGTTCCCGCCTTTTTCTTCGGAACGGCGACGTTGAATCCATTGCAACTCGTCATCACCGTCTTCAAGATCGCAGTTTTCTTCGCCTCATGAACGAACGCCGGGAAAGTTTCATTGCCGATGTTGACGCCGTTGGAAAAATTTAAAGGGAACTAGAATTTTCTATTTTATTATTCAAGCGACTCAAAATAATCCACTACTGACGCGAACAGTGTGTATTTTCTATCCTACTTCATTGGGTGCTAAACTAGAAGGGTGGTGCTATAGGGACCCAAAAACATGGGACCCTACATGAAACAGGTGAGGTGTCGGCTCCCTGTCCCATGATGCACTATTCATGAATAGTGCATCATGGGACAGGGAGCCGACATCTCACATGTCCCATGTAGGGTCCCATGTTTTTGGGTTCTAAGGCATTTTTCCAAACTAGAAATAATAAATTTATGTGATTCTTCACCTTCATGAATTTTAGAATGCATATATTACAATGAACGGCATGGATCATTAATATTGATGGTCAACATGTATTTTCACAAGTGTGTGTAAGTGAGTTTATTACCACATGTGTATTGTAATCCTACCCGTTAAAGATAATATAATTATATAAATAAATTATTAATAGAAAATAACATAATATTCGTACTAGATTCTCAGATCAATATGTTTAAGGTAAATTCGAAGGAAGTAAACAAGTAGGAGGACAAGTTGGCAATCAAAATGATTTTGAGAGTATACTTTAAAAAAACCCATAAATATGTCCTTAGCATATAAAAGCATTTTTAACATATTAACTAAACTCGCGATAAAAAAAAATATTAACTAAACTATATTGACTGTTTTCATATCTAAGTCAATTATGGTGTTAATTGCGAGGACTGAGGACCCGTTTGGATAATGAAAATATTAGAAGTAAGAAGTATGTTATAGAAGTAACTTTCAAAGCTATGAAGTAGGAAGTAGTGGAAATAGCATTTTTTTGTTTGTTTCATATATTTTTAGAAGTAATGGAAGTAGAACTTCTTCTTCTTCATTTATTTTTTTTTGTTTAGATAACATTTGGAAATATTATTAAGAAGTAATTTTATCAATGAAAAGTTGTTAGAAGTAACTAATAAAGGAAATATTAATAAAAAATTTATTTATGTCATAATTAATATGCATTTCAACTACTTCCGAGCTACTTCTGAGTATTGAGGATTAGAAAAATATTTTGAAAGTAAGGATGACACGTAGGCGTCACATAAGCATTTAGGGAAGTATTGGAAGTAAGTTTTTCAGAGAACCAAACACGTTTTTTTGCTTGGAAGTAGCAGAAGTAGCCTCTACTTTTTTTACTTCAGCTACTTCACAATTACTTTCGTGCAAACAAACAGACCCGGGGGAAAACGAAACTATTGTTAAAGAGAAGCGAGCAAATTGTTTGATGTGAAGGTTACATTTATAGTTTAGAGAAATAAAAGCTTATATCAAGGATCCCATTACTATAATTTTGCTAGATGATGTGGGAATTAAAATTAGACAAGTGTTGGATTATAATAACTCCACCCAGATGGGTGGGGTCATTAAAATTAGTTGCACCAACCTTTGATTGGACGCTAATAAGTTCATCACGGAGACCGCGTCAATTGCGTCTGTGTTAACATTTAGAAAATTTTAAAATATATTCTCTATTATCTTCTTCCTTTGGTTATACACTGAACATTTTTTTTTTATATTTTAATATGACCCATCAAATATCTTGAACCATCTAAAGAATTCTCTGTTTCACTTTGTTCTGGTCAACATATGACAGTCAAGGACTATAATTAACATGAGCGTTTTGAGGAAAGAATAATCTCCTTTTATATATAGTATATATATTTGTGGAGGTTATTTGGTTGATTTTCCAAAAAAGAGAAAATTTGATTTATTATAGAAAGAAAATCAAATCCCACATGTTTGTGGGTCTCAACTTGTGCTTTACAAACTATTTCTAAGAAGAAAAAAAAAATCTAAAATGGGTTTCTAGAAAAGCCCTTGTGATCGTTGCTCCTTTCACCTCTACTTGTGGGGCCCCGGCTCATGTGATATCATCTATTTTCTCATTGTCTTGTCGCAAACAAAACATAAAAACGAAATAGAAGTAACATTTGTTAGTACAAAACCTTTATTTATATTGTCTTAAGTAATTGGTAGCAAAAACCTTTATTAGTACAAAACTTTATACAACTATGGAGCCTATATGAAATTTACCCAAAAAGATGAAAGATGCACGCTACACTAGTCTTAGCTTCAAATATACGCCAAATATAAAATAAAATAAAAAAAGAGGAGGTAATCTACGATGCAGCCCAAAAAAGTTGGTCCTTTCCAACTCCAACTCCAACTCAACTCCAACTCCAACCAAACTCCACCGCTTTGTCTCATCTCCTCTCATGTGACCTTATTTTATTCATACAATATTCGTAAGCTTTGGACCGAGACGAAGCAATCAAGCAAGCAAAAGGAGCAAGGACAAAAAAAAAAAGAGAGCACAACATGATGTTTGCGGTGGGCTAATTATAAAAAGAACAAAAAATTCAGAGTGCTGTTTCCTTCGTTCATAAAAATCACAGATTAAAAAGTGATGCCCTCTCATCAATGCCCACCGTCCATAAGCTTTGATGGATCACAGAAAGAAACAAGTACCAGACAATTTTTAGCACCAAGTATATATCAACCAGAAACAAACTCTTAATTTGATTTCTAACAGTGCATCTGAACAATGCTCGGATTATTTGCTCCCATAACTTAAAAATAAGATTTCAATATGAAAAATTGTTCATCCTCATGTTGAGCAATGTGAATTGAGCCACACAATTTTGCAGAATAATGCGCTCTACCTGCAAGAAATCAGGTAACCACACAATCAAAGGGGAATATTTCCCACCACACCAAAAATATCTAGTAAACCTCAACATGCCATTGCTTGTTCTTCTTCAGCTGCAAGAGCTTCTCATCCCAATTCTCTCCTCTCTGCTCTGCTACCTTCTTCAGGGTTTTTTGAATCCCAGGCATCATCCCCTTCAACCCACAGAAGTAAATGTGAGCGCCTTCGTCTAAAAGCTTGAAAACTTCATCGCTGTACTCCTCGATCTTGTCTTGAACATACATCTTGCCTCCGGTCCTGTTCTTCTGTTCTCTGCTCAGGGCTTTATCATACCTAAAGAAATTTTCCATCTGACACTCAGTAACGGAAAAAATGGGTATGAAGTGACTAGAGGGCTATCAAGAGAGAAGGCATTGTTAAGGCCCACGTTGCTTGTCAAGCAATATCGGAAAGACCTGCTATTTCTTGGTAGCATATTTCGTGGAAGTTCCTAGAGAGGACCCTCGATATAAAACCATATATGGACATAGGGGATGAATACATTTGGCCTAGCATGAATCTTGATGCACACGTAATTATCAACTGCTAGTTTACTCATATTGTCTACCAGGGACTGCACATAGCTACCTCATTAGTGAACAGTTTGACTGCACTGGTAGCTTATAGTAATGCGTACATCAAGATTTCTACTAAGCCAAGTGTCTTCACCCTTATACCTCTATATGATTTTATAGAGGTCCCTATAGGAATTTCTTTTTCCATTATGCTAAATGAGGTGACACTTTATATCCAGTACACTCTTCCATAAATTTAATGTAATTTCGTCTACAAAAGGAAATTTTTGGGTACCTGAAATTGTCAGGAAAATTTTGAAGATAGCTAGCAAACTCTTCGTCATAAAGAAGGCTATCAGAATTTGCGACACCAAGGAAGAGCCATGCAAGGCCATTGAACTTGTAGGTTGGACCTGATTCCATGAACATACGCCTGAGGTAGCCACGGAAGGGAGCAATTCCAGTACCTGTAGCAATCATTATATGCGTGGCCTTGGGATCTTCTTCAGGTAATAGCATAACTTTGCCGGCTGGACCTGCAATAAGATATGCATTTTTATTATTAAGAGAATGTTTAGAGAAAATTACATAATTGCAATTTTATTCATAACCAGTAATTTTAGTGAAAACATGATTCTTAGCCAATGATGACATGCACATAGAAATATAATCAGCCAACATGAGCATTTCTCAAGAACCAACAGCTTAATATAAAGCACTTTATGGATTTGAATGACAAAGAAATAATTCAAATTCTGTTAACATTATCCTCTCCCCAAAGCTCACAAGGTTTTTAAGCTCATCAACTTCATATTGGCCTCAAGTTGGAAAACCCAAAGCCTATATCGCAATAGTGAGCATACAAGATTCCTAGGTCATTTTCCTGTTTCTTTGCATCTTCCGCAATAGTGAGCATACAAGATCCTCTAGGCAATGTTTACTTACCCAGTGATGTTTCAGTTAGTATGATGATCAGTGAAAACATGCTAAGTGCACTGAATTTGCACTGAATTTTTCTTTTAATACTTCCAGGGGACAAGCTCAAGCATTAAGAAAGATGGACTACGAATTCCGATTATTATCTCTTTAGAATTATTATCACTTCAAAGTATTCATCATACTGTTCTAGAGATAATTCTTTATAGCATACCTGTGATCTTAATCTTGTCACCTGGTTTTGAGTTGCAAAGAAAATTACTACATACACCATTCTTTGAGGGATCCTCCTTTCCAGTCTCCGGGTCATAATAAACAGCACGACGGACACATAAACTAGCTGTCTTGCCATCAAAGGCATCTCCATATCTAGTTGAAGCAATAGAATACAGGCGGACATTGTGAGGAGCTCCTGGCTTCTTGGGGTTTTCGCCCTGCATAATAAACAAGAAAGAGAAAGAGTGAAAGACATAACATTAAACAGGATCCTGAGGCTTGCGTTGTCAGAAAGAAACATCCAGCGTATCTGAAAAGTAATGATTCAGAAATATCCGATGTATGGACATTACCACTCTCCATATCTTGGTAGGTCATTTAGAAAACTAAGCTGCTAGCTCATACCCAACAACCTTATATATATCGTGCATGTACAAGTAAAGGGGATGTAAAGTGATATTGTAAACAACACCCCACAACAACCACATTATTACCAGGTTTCCATCTAGATTGACGCATGGATTTTCTTTCGACAAAGGTCACTGACACAGCAGGCCTTGCACAGACAGACGCACACATACACAAGCGTCACATATACATACACACACAACTAAAACTACAAGATTATTGTTGGAAAAAAAAATACAGGATCATTTTAAGATTCATGCGTCAAATTAATAAACAGATGTTAAAAGATCTGTGCGATGAATAAGAAATTTAAGCAAAATTTAGCAATTTCTAGATTATAAGAATGGACCACCAGAATGCATATGTGCCCAAATTTGAAATGGTTGCTAGACATGATTGATTCGAATCAAGATTGACCAGAAAAAGAATTTTTGGGGCTCTCACAAGTATATAGCATATGGTAGAGTTGATACAGTAGACATGTACGTATGAACCTAAACGGACACATGCTTCTTGAAACAAATAAAGTGCTGTAATAATAATATTGCAAGAAACTTATGGATTCATGCAAGAATATTAGGGTGAAAGTAGCCGGTACTTATGGCCTTAGACTTCATCACATGAAGGAAAGGCATGCATAGTAATACGATTGTTGAAGCTGGTCGAGCTCGCAACTAATTACAGTTACAATCAAGTATCGTCCGAGTAGAACTGTAAGGGTGTTTATGGAAACTTCATACTAATCCGGTTAAGGCCTTAACCGGGTTAGGATTGAACCAAATTTTTTTTTTTTTTTTTAACTGTAATTTTTTATTTTTGTCAAAACATATTTTAAGCTCTTATCCAAGTTAATGACCTTATCCAAGTTAGTAAGTGAATTGCCAAACAAGTGCTAATTCTTCTTGGGGGGTCTAAATTACATCAAGTCTAAATGAGAAATCTATGTTTTTATTTCACAAGGGTCCAAGTGATGAATGAATAATGAAAGGACTTGTACAAGTAGAAAGTGTAAAGAAAAGTAATAACATGAGAAATCCGTGTTAGAAAAGAAACCAATGGAAGGGATTCAGTCTACCAGCGAGAAACACGCAGAAAGTCTTGCATCAGTTGACAATGGAACATATTAGACAAATAGGAGGAAAGTAAATTAGATTATAAACTAAAGCCAGGATACAGAAAAAATATATACTATTATACAAGTGTGTAGGATGTTAATAACATTTTCTTTTGAAAATGCCCTCCAAAACACATACATTATCCATAAAGGACATGCATACATACATAAAACACACACATATACAAACATCATATAGTACATAAACACACATGTATTGCACCATCATTATTGTAATAAGTACAAGAACAGAAGAACTGATATTTAACATTAAGTATAATGTTATTAATCTTATTATATTTATTTTTTTATAAAGTAAGATAAATAGTTTAATCTTTAGAAACACAAAATAAATCACTACAAGTTATCAAAACTCAATGGAGTTGTCATCAAATGCTAAAAATAAAATTTTTATTTTCAACCAATTAATATGTAAAGACCTACAATTCTGACTCCTTTAATTTTGGCCCTTCAATAATTTCATATTCATATTGGCTGCTAAAAACACTAATGGTTCCAAATTTTTTATTCCTCACGCCCAGGATTACGGCCCAGATCGTTAGAAAAGAATCCATAAAAAACAAATTTTCATTTTTTCTTATCTTATAATTGTTTCCGATTCGCCAATTCTTATCGTTTTCGAAAGGAACGAAAAAATCAACAAAAAAGATATGAAAACAAATTAAATTAATTAATTAAGTAAATCAAATAATGATGTGTTGGATTGGCACAACATAAATAAGAAATTTAGATGCAAAAAATAAAATAAAGAAAAGATAGAGAAAAAAATGTCGGGCTTATTCAATCAATAAAGATACAATAAGCAAGGTTTGTCCTTTGTTTGTTGGTGGATTCCCACAACAAGAAAAAAGATAAATAAATAAGTATGAATAGACCGAATGAGGTGCTGACTATAAAAACACTTCTATTTGGAAATAAAAATGGAAATTTCCGTTGAATTTATGCCATAATCTCTTTGATCCCTATATTGATGTGCCAGAATAGAGAATACATAGAGATTTTGTAAGGAAGTAGGATAGTTTTTTTGAATAAAGAAAGGGGGTGGGAAAGCTGCTTTCATGCGGTCTAAGTTCTGAATGGCGTTTCCAACAAACTTTATATCGAGTAATATCCATAATAGAAATAAAGCTGGCTAAATATCATGATGATACTTGGTTATTTCAATTGCATAACCAAGGCTATGCAAAGTGTTTTCACTGCAAACTTTCCTCTTTTCTTCATGTCTGATAGTCTAGGTGAGAGAGAAACCTTAAATAATAATTCACGATGACCTACACTGGCCCTTCTCACATGAGAAAATAACCTAACAATATTTCCCTTGGAGTTATACACAAAGAACGCATGTACACCATACTAGTTTTAAAAAAAAATACTTACAGGAGGAATTACACCATAGCTCTGCCCTTCCCAATAGGGGACATTGCCTCCATGATCAATTACAATATGGCATGTCTCTCCAGGAGCTTTTGGTCCAACAAGCCTCTCAACTGAAACAATAGTTGCTGTGTAGGGATCCTTAGGCTTGTACAAGTTGATAGGTGGTTCTTTAGCATCTTCCAATTCTATTGGCTTGACTGCAACTTTGCTTCTGCTGGCTTGTTGTACAGACATGCATAATACCTTGCTCTGGTATTTTGATTGCACATTCCTACTTTTCAAATCTGAATATGTGACTGCTGCCCATAAATTATTCTTCAAGCTTAGATTATTCTGGACCTAGAGGACAGCAACAGGTTAGCAATGCTCTAAGAATTATCTCTGCACTTTTAACGAAAATTAGGAAAAAAGAGTTTCTAGCTCTAATGCAGGTCCACAAGGGTAACACAGTGAAAAATCCCCTCATAGTATCCACTACAAACCCAAAAAATCTGCATCATATAAAGGACCACATCTATGAAAATAGAAAAATTAATACAGGTATACATCATAACGAGTCAATACTATTACTATTACTATCTTCTGTCTCATGCACCATTAAAAAAAGCGGCAGATTTCACTGCCTATAGCCGGTTTGGATGGCAGTAACGGCCACTATCCACTAGGCTATAGCAAATAGCTGCTGAATTTAGTGGAATTTGCTCATAATAGAGGCAAATAGCGTGATTTAGTGCTTAATAGAGCCTAATAGCCCTATTAAGCGCCATTAACTTTTAAATGGCGTGCATTTTTTGTATCTGAACCCGATCCTTAAAAATAATTCCTTGCATCCCCCCCCCCCCCCCTCGCCCCCCTCCCTCTCTCCGATTCCAACCAAAATACAAAGGAAAAGAAAAACAACTAGCATCGCGATTCCCGCCTCTTCCACTTCCTCTTTCCGCAGTCCACCCACAGGTGACCCTACTCTTCCTCAATCTCGGCTACAGCCAAATACAACACCTCAAACCCCTCCTTCACCTCAACCCCTACCTCTCCCTCTCCAACTACTCCACTTTCATCAACCTCAAAATTTAGCTTAACTCCTCTCATTCCGCTGCCGCACCTACCCCTCCCTCTCGACTGCCTCTCAAGCTTCTCTGCTACCTCCACCAATTTGAAGCTCACTGAGTTCCTCTTTGAACTTCAAAGCTCCACCAGTCCTCTTCATTTTTATGTCAAGTTTCAAATAGTTAATACTTATTTATGTTGCTACTAATCAATATTTTCTACTGTTGAGAATGTTTCTCTCAGAAGAATTTGAAAGTTGAAAGAATGAGGCAAATAACAGTCTTTTGTATAAACATTTACGTCATAGTGCTTTGTTAATATTACGCGATTTTTACACGTAAATTTCATGCTTAGGATCTCAATAAATCATCAAATATGTAGTTGTAGAATTTTTAGATTTTTCTTTATTTTTTCTTATTTTTTTAAAATATTTACACATATTTAAACTAGACCATTTTTTTAACTTTGCGTTTTTTGCCACTTTTTTGCCGCTAATCTATCCACTTTCCACATATTGGTCTCAAGGTTGATTTGCTTCAATGATCATATTTATCAGTAGACTTCGATATCAATGTACACCAAGCAAATTTGTGACTAAGATAACAAGTTTGTGTAATCAGCACATTTGTCAACAATCTATCCATAATGATTTCCTATTATCCTTATATACCTAATTTTTTATTTCCACACGATTATTTGACACTAACATTAGCTTTTTCAAGAAAACAAGAAAACACTAAAACATTTTCACCAACTTAAGCAATATACATTCCGTCATATTTGTCAACATATTGGCAGTGTTCTTTTCACGTATACTTGTTCAACAACTCTCCCACAGTCCTATTACACCATGAACAACTAATAACTCCAACAGCATTTGCAGTCCTTATATTACATACTAGTAGAAATTTTCTTGAATGGCTTTTCCTCACTCCACTTTAAGATATTGCTTCCAGTTCCACACTGGATAAAATTCACTATTAAAGTTCACACTTTTTATCACTCAAACTCAACGTAGAAGCTTATCAAACATCAATGGAAGAGTTAGTAATCTAAAGGCCCGAGTTAACCCACTAAAATTATTTCACTAAAATTAGAAAAGAAACTGTTGTGCAGGCTAACTAAGGGCTTTGAGTCGACTTGCTTAGGATTAAAACACCTATTTATTAGGAATCATTTAGATATAAATATAACTACAGAAGGGCTCAGCATATTGTTATTTTTTCTTATTCTCTTTGCTCATTTTCATAAGTTGGTTTGCAATGAATCAAGTGATTGACTTGCATTTGTATACATATTTGTAAGTCCATAATCAATGAACCAAACAAATATTTCGCATTATTTACGAACAGATGCATTAGTATCATTTTTACCTAATTCATAGTGCAATTTATGTTATGGTATGTCTATGCCTATACATTATCCTACGTTAGCAGCATGCAGTAGGGGGATGGAATTATAAGGTTCATTGTTTTCAGTTGCAGTACACCTGGGTTGTTTTGATATTGTGCACAACTGCATATCTTCGCGTATACATGTACAAATACTCTCTCTCTCTTATGTTATGGTATGTCTATGCGTACACATTTTGCTACTTTAGCAGCATACAGTAGGGGGATGGGGTTATAACTTATAAAGTTCATTGTTTTTAGTGGGTTGTTTTGATATTATGCACAATTGCACATATTTGCATATACATGTACAAATTCTCCCTCCCTCCCTCCCTCCCTCATTCACACACATGCGCGCACGCAAGAAATTAAAAAATTAGATAACTCTTTTTATTGTTGGAATTTACTTGGATTGTGTAGAAGAAGATTATCAGTAAGATTGGATGTAGGAATTAAAAACATTGATTTTTAAACATGTTAATACACGAAGCCATTTCTAAAGAAGCTAGCAAAAATTGAGACAATGAGAAGATTAGCAAAAAAAATTAACAAATAAAGGTCAAAGGAGCTATAGGTAGGTTCTTCACTTTCACTTCATATATTCACTAATAATAAATGTTTAGACTTATTCCAAAAAATTCCAATCTATATTCAATAAATTTGAGCCCTGTTTTTTCTGTCCTCTGATATTCAAATAAAATACATATCTTTGATTGCTATTGTTTCCTTCCAATGAGAATATGTTTGTGTGGCCAGTTCATGATGCATTTGCCAACTCAGATCGCAAATTCAGCATGAATGGGATCACGCGATCCAGGTTGTGGATCCATAGGGTAGACAAATTACGTAATACTACTAAAGATGAACCCATGAGAAATCCGCATGGTAAATATCGACAGCCCCGTGGCAGTAATTACAACTTTTCTGAATGCAAAAAGTGGCAACTAATAAGCCCTTGGCGAGATGACTTTTATAAAATTTTAGATGAAAATATAGGAAAGCCAAAGCATGATATATGGAATATCACAGCTTAGTGCATTATTTGGACAGGAGGGGGGGAATGTCTACAATAAAACTCTACGGAAATAATTCCTCCAACTCGATCCTAAATTGCTGAAAATCCTGTTTTCACGACATAGGAAACCTGTAAATTTGCAAATTTCAGAAAAAAAGAGCGAAAATTTCTTAAATCAGAAGAAGAACTGTCAGCTTCTTTATACTAAGCTTCACTTCGCTCCTCCAAATTCCCCTCAATACCGCACATTCATTAGTTAGCCAGTGTAATTTTAGATTTCATGATATCTAATGTCAATAAAAAAGTTCAAAACTTATTCTTCTCACAAGCACAAACTTCACTTTTATACGCTAAAACAGAAGTTTTACAGCAAAAGAGAAGCGATTTCGCAGTTACAGTATCATACCTTCACTCGTGACCTCCCAAGAGACGAGTCGCCTCCAATCGGAACACTGACCGAAGTCTGCAAAAAAAATCCCCATTCCCACCGTTACAACGAACGAAACCAATCAAAGAACAAGGATCGGTTAACGAATCTTCACTCACCTGAGCCGCGAACGCGTGCGCCATCGCGAATCTCGAAGAAAGACTAGGGTTTCCCTCTCTCTCTCTCTCTCTCTCTCTCTCTCTCGATCTCAGACTCAAAACTGGGGTTTTCAACTTATAGAGATCGAGAGAGGGGAGTGAACTGATCCCTTCGAGCAGAGGAAGGGACGATGCCCTTTCCGTGACTCGTTCAGATTTGCTCTCTATGATGTTGTTTCCTTTGATTTATAAAAGGCCTCACGATTTATTTAGCTCGTAAAAATGCCCTCTTGCGCTCTCTTAATAACTTTTTCTAATCACGACTCAAAACGTTCAATGTATCGGGACGAGTGGCATCTGGTAGATCGGATCTTCGCCCGAACCCGAACGAGCGCCCGCTTCGTTATCGGGTTTTGTGTGGAATGCATAAGGTGGGGCTGTTTGGTTGGTTTCTTTTGCCCTTGATTCCCTGTCAAAACTGTCAGTTTTGACAGCTTTCTTACCAAAACGTTCTTTTTAGGGGTGTTTTGGCAAGAAAGCTGTCAAAACTGACAGCAAGCTTTTGACAGGAAATCAGGGACAAAAGAAGCAAAATAAACAGCCCCTTATAAGTTAATGTTGGCTTATAACGAGCCAACGAGGTGTTTATGATTGTTAGTTTTTCAAAAAGGGAGGTACACCAGTTTTTTTTTTTAATATGAGATTTATAAGTTAACTTATTTGATATTTTATTAAACAGATAGATATAAAAAAACTAGTTTGACAAAAAACAAAGGCTCCCCCAAACACCACCATTGAGCTAAGGGTGGGATTTTTACGGGCAGGATGCTACAAGTTGACCTCATAAGGAGGGAGTATAGAATTGATTTCACACAATAGGATGATCTGTACTATTTACGAGTGGAAACATAGGAACGGCTCTTTTGTACGAATCGTAACCTCAGCGGATTTTCAACAAAATGAAAAGGTATTACATTCATGTCTTCTTCAGTATTGGTCCCTAATATCTTTAATATTTTGAAATTAGTCCATGAAACTATTGAAATTGCCATCAAGGCCCTCAAATTATTACGCCTTGCTTCTAGCGCTCTTAACTAAAGAGGTTAATTTAGAATAACTTATAAGAATTTGAGAACCTAATAGCAATTTCAATGATTGAAAGACCGGTATTGACTTTTGAGACTATGAATAAGAATCGAGAGACCTAATAACGATCCTAATAATTTAAGAGACTAATTTCAAAATATGAAAGATCTAAGGGCTAGTATTGAAAACTAGTATTGACTTTATGCATCAGGTGACATACTATTAATATACGTCACAGATATTCACAACTAGGCGCCCATCAAAGGCACGAGTGAGAGACGTGTCCAACGTGATCCTGGAGTCTCAATTATTCAATAATTTCTTTTTATTTATTATTTATATATACCGTTTCTTGTTTGTAGTGAACTAAAAGTTCAATTTAACTTTGAATTTTTCAGTTAAAAAATAAATAATGATAAACAAAGTACGAATATAGATCTAGCATGTGCCTGGTCCGACTCAGATCAAACAATTGAGTAGCAGACGAAAGGAGCCAAAACACGCATCGCGTTGAGCTAAAACGAGACAAAAATTACGTGAGCCTTGTGCTAAAATAAAAGACCATTCCGTCAAAACTCTCCGCTTCATGCTTGTACCGTTCGTGGAGGGCAAAGAGGGTTAGTTTGGAAATTTCATTACCTATAAGAGGTGGAATAGAATAACCGGGTTGAAGCGTAATGATCATACGTCTATATTGCATGATATGTCCCATAAAATATCATATTCTTCTACCCTTTCTACGGAGTCGATGACTATCCATAGCTATTACCTTGACACCAGATAAGAGTTCGACCCAATGTTTTACTTCTTTCATAGTTGACCCTGATTCGACATTAAAAGTATTAAAAGTATATTGATTGTTACCCAATGGCCATATTTGGTTCCATTCATAAACCCATTTTCTTCACTATGAGTTCTAGTATCGATAAGAATTCTCGTTCTTAGTATTCATTTATTATGATATAGGGCAAACAAGGTTAGTTTTGCAAGTTCTACCTCCAAATGAGGCTTCACTGTTTCGGAATCTATATGAGCGTGTTTAGCAACTTTAGATTCTAATCCATAGTGTTTGGTAAATTTAGTCAATTATAATTATTTCTATTAGTAAAGTATTTGGCAAACGGGTAAACTATAATTCATCATTATTGTCAAATTGGCCAGAAAAGACGTGACTCATAATCCATAAAAAAGAATGTCACTATAAATTTTGTGAAATGATGAAGGATCTATATGTTTTTTTCTTGATCAAACATTATGGCTTATAATTCACCAAAGGATCTATATGTCTTTTTCTTGATCAAACATTATGGCTTATAATTCACCAAAGGATCTATATGTCTTTTTCTTGATCAAACATTATGGCTTATAATTCACCAAAAAATAAACAAGAGTACCGTAACTTATTTTTTGATAGATTATATGCTAAAATAAATCACTTGCCAAACATTTCAAAGTGGCTTATGAGCCACAAAAGTGGTTTATAAATCTATCTTGCAATGTATACTATTTAGATTGTTCGCCAAATTTAAGAGCGCACAAAGACGGGCACATTCAAGGAATCAAGAACACCAAATAACCAGAGATACCAACAATCAAACAGACAGCCAAAAAAATCCTGGTAATACAAGTAGGGCAGACATCCTTACTTGAAAAGAGAAAAAAACAATTCACTAATTAAGAAACTCAACAATTTACTAATTAAGAGTACCCAAAAATGATATTATTTATCTAAATTATATTAAAAACTTTTAATTGTGGGACATAATAGGATAAACCAATAAGCATTGACCAATGTATATATCCATGAGTTTTCTCTACAATCAAGAATATAAAGAATCTGGATCCATACAAATGGATTCTCATCCTCTCCAATTAGATGATAATTAGTCTCTAATTCTCCAACCATTATCATACATTTTGAATTAAAAGAATGAGAATAGACGACAAAATAAAATCTCTATGGTCTTGAAAAACACTATTTTTTGAAAACTACTGTTCTTTAGAAACTACTATCACAGTAGTGAAATCATATATGGCACAAATCTCATACATTGAATTCAGAGTGTAAGACAACGATTGGAGGAATTGGAGACCCTCCCATCACCACCAAATTTGAGAAGATCTAAATCCCATGTCAACATTTTTCTATACTACAGAAATAGAAATTGAGATGTCGAGAACAAAAAATCTCCCATCTCATTCATGTTTCGCTAAACCACTTCAAAGCTCTCTCCCAAATCCGAATGTAAAAGTAGCAGCAACTGCTAAAGATATAACATCAATTACTGGAGAGGCAGCTCGAGATCAGGCCTTTGATCCACTATCGATGTTTTCGAACCATCAGGAAAGGCATCAGGATATGTCGCTAAGAGTTTTCCCTTGGCACTCCTGCAACACAACTCACCAAGACATAATGATGTTAACTCGTTGAAGTCAGCGACAAAAAACACTTAAACCTCGATTGTTAAATTAAATCGCAACAAGAGTTCAGTTTGTTCTTGCTAAAGTCATTCAAATTAAAATGAAAAGAGGAACAAAGTCAAGGTAACAGGGTAGCAAAACAGATACTAACAAGAGGCAGTAATGGTGATGTGATGATGGTTGAGTGATTGATCATGAGGCAAGTGGAGCTAATTTTTTTTAATTTGAACTTCCTTGTAAACAAGAGAAGTATACAATTACATGTACAATCATCAACATTGTCATCTATGCTCTTATTGTCCTTCTAAAAAATTGAAGGACTACAAAGCATAGAAAAAATAAAAGCTCCAATGAGAGAATCAACCAAGTTTCTACAACTGTTCACCGAACTAATGTTTTATTTAATTGTTTAAAATCCTTGCCAAGGAAATATTAGAGAATGAGGGCCTCGACACAATATCTTGGAGGGCAATTGGCACGAAAATACAGATTTAACCATACAACAAAATGGATGATAATCTTAATGTTCTGATTCTAAAGCTTAAAATAATTGTATATACTTCACAGGACAGCACAACTTGCACCAATTAATCTGAATCTATTATACAAATTATAACCTTCAGGCATACCTCAACTTTGTGAAGATGTGATCTAAATCAGACTTGATAGATTTCAAGAGCCGTGTATTCCTTGAGAAATCACCAGAAACATCAGCAAAACATCTTTCTGAGTAATCATTAAAATGTGACAGAACTGCATTGCTATCTTGTAGCCTTCCCAATCTGCATTTAGAACATCAACTGCAAAGCATAAATATTTAACTAAAGCTACATCCAAGAACAAGATCATTAATGTGGAAATGAAAATGTATTCATAATGAATATCAGCAGAAAATCGGGTAATGGGGATAAGCCTCACAACTTTAACTGAGATATGGAAGTAGAAAATACCTTTCATCAACTACAATCAGAAATCTCTAGAGAAGACAGAATTACATTACAGGCTAATACAATTTTCTGTGGCAAAGTGCAAAAGGGATCCTTTTTCAGTAGGTAGCCAAAAAGCAAAGGGGTAATAACCTGGCACCTAAAATATTTATCTAGACAAAAATGCAAAGTTGGATAAACAATGCCATCAACGCAACTGACAGGAAAAGCTTCACATTGCAAGCAGAAAAAATCTGCTGCAGAAGAGCAGCCACATAGCACAAATGACTTTTTCCCCTTTTCGAATTCACTGTGACCAAAACTACTTTTAGCACTGAGAAAAACGAAAATAACTTCAGCCAAATTTAGGGGTGATCTGGTTCATTTGGAAACTCGCTACTTATCACAAACTCCTCTATACTTGACAAGACTATCATCCTAAAAACATATGGTTTTAAATTCTACTGATAATAATAAGTATATGTATGTAATCAATGCAATAAATGACCAAAACATAACAGTAGCTATGTTAATGGTAACGAATTTCTACAGAGATAACAGCCCAACGCCACTAGATGGCATAACTTGAATGTATAACTTGTAGAGAGAGCCTCGTGGCAGAAGTTGTCGTCACCCTCTCTCTAGGGTTTTAAAAACCCTAGATCTGAGTCCATTCCGTTTTCTCTCTAAAAACGCGTAACGCTTCTCTCCTCCTCCTTCGTGATGGAGCTCTATCGGGCAGATCTGACAGTTGCTTCCGGTTTTCTACGGCTGGTTTCTACCTTCTTCGTGCGGCACGGCCCTTCCTGTCTCGCTCCGACAGTTTGCGGCGAATTTATTTGACGAGCTTTGAGTTTCGACCCCAACCCTCCTGACAACCCTCGGGGTTTCCCATCGGTAATTCTCGCCGGCAAGGCTTCGGTGGGTCTCCATCGGTGATTTCCAGTGCATCCTCGACAGTTCACACCAGTTTTCTGGCATTGTTTTTCTCCGTCTTTGCTCATTCAAATTTCGTTTTCCTCTCGACTCACTCGAACGGCATCGCCGTTTCATACTTAGTAACAGTATCGCCGTTTCAAGACCGTCTCTCGATCTCATATTAACGGCATCGCCGTTTCATATTTAGTAACGGTATCGCCGTTTCATATTTAGTAACGGTATCGCCGTTTCAAGACCGTCTCTCAGTCTCAAATCAACGACATCACCGTTTCAAGACCGTCTCTCGATCTCATATTAACGGCATCGTCGTGTTTTTTTAGTAACAACATCTTTTCAAGACCGTCTCTTGGTCTCAAATCTACGGCTTCGTCATTTCAATACCGTCTCTCGTCTCAAATTAACGGCATCGCCGTTTCAAACCGTTCTGTCTTGCTGTTTTGCTGATTGTTTGGGCTACTGGTGCTTTTCTGTATTCTGTCTTTGGGGACTGGTGTGTTAGAACATGGCAAGAATTGATGATGATGGACTGACCGAGCTTTGTGCCAAATGCAGCTTAGATGACGAAGATGACCCTATTTTTCTGTCAACCAAGGACAAGACAAATTCACCTTCCCTCAACAACTATTTTAGGGAAGGTTTTTGGTAGGAGGATTGCTATTAGAGATGGCCTTGAGCGTGTCTTTAAGAGGATCTGGACTGTAAATGCCCTCTTCCAGGAGGAACCTTACAGTGGAAGGAATACTTTCCTTTTCATATTTGATTCCGATGCAGACAGGGGAAAAGTGTTTGATGGTGGGCCGTGGTGCTTTAAAAGAAACCTGCTCAATTTGATTGTTCCTTGTGGGATTAGTACCCCAACTTCTCTGGATTTCTCTTTAACTCTGTTCTGAGTACATGTCAAGAATATACCACTTGCTGCGATGAACGAGAGGTGCGTTAGAGACTATGGCTCGCTTATAAGAGAACTTAAATGGATTGATTTGCGGGATAACAAGATGCAACTGAGGATTCTCGTGGATATTACTAAGCCTCTAAGAAAAGGCATACGTGTTTGCTTTGAAGAGACCGGGGAGATTGAGAAGCTCCACTTCACCTATGAGAGACTTCCTGACTTTTACTTTTCATGTGACATTATTGACCACAAAGCTGCTGAGTGTGACAAACGAAGTGTACAAACCGATGGTATTTTTATCACATCCAAAAGCAGATATAGTTATTAGCTCAAAGAACCCTATCCATCTTATAAGGCCATTGAGACTCGGTCTTCTGGAGCAACTGAAGCAGAACGTGAGGGGTAGGAACAACCATCCTCTTAGGTGGTCCTAGATGATACTCAGGTTGATGATTTAGATGGTAGTGCTCCACTGCAGATTATTCCGATCACGGTGGGTTGTGAGACCCCTCTTGCACCCTTAGTCATGGATACCGGTGTTGGCTCTAATTTGCTTGATGTTACAGTTTCCACATCCACCTCGGGAAAGCAGGCTTTATCGACCTGGAAGAAGCATGCTAGAGGGTCTGGGTAGCAGGACTCTAAACAGAAAGGGAAAGGGAGCAAACGTAGGAAAGATACTATGAAGGATCCTCCGGATGTACATGAGAAGAAGGCACGATTGGAGGTTCATAGTCTAGATTCTACTCTTGTTGAGGCGCACCTTGATGGCCAGGAACGCCAAGAGCCATGAGTTACTTTTGCTGGAACATTCAAGGACTGGGGAACCTTGAAACGTTGATCGCTTTCCGCAAGATGATGCGAACTCAATTCCTAAGTCTAGTTTTTCTTTCGGAAACTAAACTTTCTGGTAGTTGGCGCAAATGATCAGATTTCAATTGAGTTTCCGAAATTGCTTTGTGGTGGATAATAGAGACAGAAATGATAGACTAATGTTACTATAGGGTGATGAAATGGATGCGACTATCTGTTCTTTTTTTACTAGACACATTGACACATTAGTTGTTGACTCTGCGAGAAGGAACTAGAGGTTCACTAGATTTTATGATCATCCTAAGAAACACTTACAGTACCGGTCCTGGGATCTATTGAGACGGTTGAGGGATCTTTCCTCTGAGCCATGGTTATGTGGAAGTGACTTTAATGCCATCGCGAGCCCAGGGGAAAATCTAGGTAGGAGACAGGCGCATATTCTGAGTATGCTAGATTTCCAGAGTGTTCTGCTGCATTGTGAGCTACTCTTGGATTAATCGTCAGTATGGTACATCTCATATCCAGAAACGCTTGGACAATATGGTAGCTAACTTTGGCTGACGAGACATTTCCCACTGCTGAAGTACACCACTTGAATTTTTCTGTTTCCAACCATCGTCCTATTATGTTATATTTTGTTGTTTCTCGCCCCCTCTTATTAGGTATGATCGTCCCTTCCGCTTTAAGCCTTTTTGTCTCAAAGAGGATGATTTGAGTGATGTGATGTTATTAGCATGGGAGCTGACCTAGAATCTCCACACAACAGGATCTATGTGAGTCAGTTTGTCAGAAGCTAGGATCTTGTGCTATAAAACTCAGTAGTTTGAGCCAAGAGTGTTTTGGCAGATGGAGGCACAGATTGTCAGTTATTCAGCGAAATCTCCAATCTCTCTAGTCTTCTCTAGATGTGGGGATTGTAAAAGGAGGTTCTTGAGTATAGCGAAGAAAGCTTCTGACGACAACGATCTAAGGTTGATTGGCTCCGAGACGGGGACCGTAACACCAAATTCTTCCATACGAGAGCTTCCACTAGGAGGAAAAACTTCATTAGCCGCCTACATCATCCAAATGGCACTTGAGTAGAGGATCAATTGGGAATTGCAACGCTTATTGAGGATTATTTATCGAAACGGTTTTCTTCTTCCACTCCTTTAGAGGAGGTTTTGGCTAAGGTGAATGGTGCTATCTCTTCACAATTTTCAGTGGATGACTTTCGGATCATTTCTGAGCCTTTTACATGTGATGAGGTATGGGGTGCTCTTCGATCTATAGGTCCTTCAAAGGCACCCGACCCAGATGGCTTCCATGCATTCTTTTTCAGTCCTAGTGGTCTGTTATTAGCCCAGATATTTCGACTGCATGTTTGGATATTCTAAATGGGGGCTCATCCATCAAGTCTTGAAATAAGACCAATGTGATTCTCATCCCACTTTAGACCCATCGGCCTATGTAATGTGGTTTATAAGATTGTCACAAAGATCATTGCTAATAGGCTGAAATGGGTTCTTGATGGGAGATCTATTCAGGACAATGTCATTGTTGCTTTTGAACTTCTCCAGACATTGCAGAAAAGACGAGGTCAGTCTGGCCATATGGCACTGAAATTGGATATGAGTAAAGAAAATGATAGAGTAGAATGGGGGTTTATTGACAAGGCCATTCACGTCATGGGTTTTTCAGATCATTAGAGGCTTCTCATTTTAGATTGTATCTTCACTTCCTCACTCTTTCTGCCTCAATGGGCAGATTGTGGGTCAGGTCACTCCTACTCGTGGTCTGCGACAGGGATGCCCACTATCTTCATATTTATTTCTTTTCTGCACGGAAGCTCTCTCGACACTGATCATTAGACAGGAGGAGAATAGGTGTAACAGAAGGTTATCTTGTTCTCAGTCGGGGCTAAGAATTTCTCACTTGTTCTTTGCAGATGACTCTTTGGTTTTTATCCAGGCTTTCCAGGCCGCTGCACAGGCTATTCAAGTACTCTGCTACTATACGAGGCTACAACCGGTTAGAAAGTCAACTTTCAATAGTCTACCATCACATTTAGCCCATGTGTAAATGAGGATACTAAGGCCTCTATTTTCTGTCTTGAGGCTTAATAGGGTTCAATCACATGATCGATACTTAGGTCTTCCTTCGGTGGTTGGAAGAAGTCGTTATCAAACTTTTGCTTCAATCAGAGACTCGGTTTGAAAAAAAATCCAAGCTTGGAGGAAGGCTCTTTTCTCAGCTGGGGGGCGAGAGATTATAGTGAAAGCTGTTTTGCAGGCAATTCCATGCTATGTGATGAGTATCTTCCGCATTCCCCTTTTTGTGCAGGGAGATTGAGTCTATCATTATGAGATTCTGGTAGGGATCGACTTCTGGTGAGAGGAAGATTCACCGGGTTAGGTGACAGAAGATGTGTCGAGCAAAGTCAAAAGATGGTCTAGGCTTTAGAGATCCGCGAATGTTTAATCAGGCACTGGTGGCTAAGTAGGCATGAAGGATCTTTCAGGACCCTTCTTCCCTGGTTAGTAAGGTTTTGAAGAGCAAGTATTTTAGGAACTCGGACTTCCTTTCAGCCGGTGTTGGCCCTAGTTGTTTTTATTTATGACGAAGTATTATTTGGGGGCGAGAGCTCCTGGTTCGAGGTCTGAGATGGAGGATAGGTGATGGCCAGAGTATCTCTATCAGTGTTGATCCATAGATCCCAAAGCCTTTTTATTTTAGGTCAATCACTTCTCCAATCGATCCTTCCAAAAGGGTGGCTGAGCTGATCTCTGCTTCGGGTACTTAGAATCATGATCTGATTGCTAACTCGTTTTGACAGGTGGATCGAGAGGACATTTCACTTATCCCACTACCCCCTTCTCCTGTCGCTGTCAGACTCATTTCGCATTATGAGGAGAAGGGATGCTACACAGTCGAGTGGATACCGACTTCTTCGCCACACTATGTCTGATGTTGCTTCCACTTCAAATTCTAGGGTGGTAAAGTGGTGGTCCTTGATTTGGCAGGCAGAGATACTACAAAAGATGAGTGTTCCTTTGGCGCCTGTTAGATGATGTTCTCCCCACCTCAGCTAATTTATCTCGTAAGGAAATCTTTGTGCTCCTTAGTTACTGCCTTTGCTCTACTACCTTTAAGACCGTCCTTCATATCTTCACCGTCTGCTCCTTTGCTGTTTAGTGTGAGAATCCTTAGATCTTTAGGATGTGATTAAAGGCTTTCAAGGTACGTCTTGTGATGATTTTCTTTTCCATCTCACATCGGTTTGCCCTGGGAACTCTCTGGCTTTGGCTTTCACGACCCTGTGATTTATATGGGGGGAAAGAATTATACACTCTCATGATGGTGATGTTAGGGAGGCTTTGGTCTTGGTGACTCGGATTCTTAATTTTGTGAAGGGAATAGGGTTCGAGGACTCTCGTAACATTGCTACCCCTTCTAAATGGCATTCTACTTGGTATCCCCCTGCTCTTGGTCTGTTAAAACTCGACACAGATATTGTTGTTCCTATAGGAGGAGATATTATTGGGTTGGGAGGTATTATTCGAGGCCATCATGGGCATATGATTTGTTGCTACTCTATGGGGCTTAAGGGTCCTATGATTGTGGATCATGTGGAGCTGTTAGCTTTGTTCGGCGTATGAACTGAAGGATTTCAGTGGTGGAGATTGACTCCCTAAGGGTTGTCTCCTTAGTGGACTCACATTCTCCTTTTGCTACCATGGCTCTTTATACAGATGAAATTCACGCTGGTTTGTCTGCTATTGGTTGCTCTAAAGTTTCTTATGTAATGCGCACTAGTAATGGTGTTGCTCGTGTCCTATCTAAGTCGGTTGACTGTTTGTCCTCTTGTTTTTTGTCTGTTTTTATCCCTCTGTTTTTGAGACAGAGTGTTGTTAAGGACTTGGCTGGTTAGGATGTCCTACCTGCATTTTCAAAAAAAATGTACAACTTGAAAGCATTTCAATAGAATGTATGCTTCAAGAATAAATGGAGGCAGAATAAAAGAACTAACTTCATTAAGCTTGATTCCAATTGTCATCCTCCCACCTCTCTCTGGAGACTTGTGCACGCTTCGTACACTGATGTAGCACCAGCTTCCCCCCAAATAAATACAGTTGGTCTTTTATTAAAAAAAATAAAGGTAAGGAACATATTACTGCTCAAACAAATTTACAATTTTCAAACCAGGCATACCCAGGCTTTTACAAAGAACCTGCTACAAAAGAAACCATCAATCTCCTAGATATCCAACAATCCCAAACTGAACCTGCTACTACAATAGAATACAACAGCCTCTACACACTTGACGTGTTTTTGACATCAACTATAGAACCGTTTATACATATTGAGGAGGATGAGCTACTAATCTATACAATCTAGATTGTGTTCTTGCGAATTCTATAAATTGCAGCCAGAAGAAAACAGCTTATATAAAAACTCTTAGATCGCTTCCCCTTGACCACCTCTACAACCAATTCACAAATAACCAAGTTCTAATTGAAGTTTTCAAATCTTATTTTCTTTAAAATGCCTGAAGTACTTCTTGTGTATATGCACATTGGAAACAAAGATGATCTCTTGTTTCCCTTCCAGTTGCACACAAAACATACCTACCATCCTGGTAGGAACTAACTCTCAACATCCACCCTTTAGCTCTAATCTTATTCAAAGCTATTGGTCACACTACATTATACATGCATTTAATCTTCATAAATCGCCACTGCAGATACCTGAGTTTGGAGTCTTTTGACAAGTTGAAACATTTCTCATTGAATGTGCAGATGGTTGACATACACACGCGCGACGCATGACACATGCATCAATATACACACATAGACTACATAACCAATCAGTTATGTGGCCATCTTACATGGTCCCACTGCTTTGTCCGCCCACATACAAAAAAAGAAACTCTAAAATTTACCACCATAAACCATGACTAATTCCCTCAAAGACCCTAATCGTACCAGACCACATCAGATCTTGCCGTGCGAGCAAGATAGAGATCACGCACCATTGCAACAACATTGGTCTCGCATACTTGCATCTGGATTCCCTGTTCTTCGGTCCCCTCCATTTTTTTGACCAACCTTAATGGCGTTATCCGTGCTCCAAAAGATTGAAATTTTTCTTTGAAAAAAATGAAAACTTGATAGCTTGGCAGTTTCCTTTATCTACTACTGTTGATTTTTTTTTCTGGTTCAATTTTTCTATTGCATGTCTCCATGTATGACATCCTACAACCTATCTCAATTTCTAAGGTTCTACCATTTTATTTCCATATCTAAGACCTCCATGCCTCCATGCCTAAGAACAAAAATATCCACGATATCTTTTGGATCTTCAATTTACTATTGTAGAGTTGTGCATATTTTCTTGGACGAATAAAGTAATTGATATTGGCTATTTCTATCCTATCAGTTTCTCTGACAAGACTTTGTTTGATATTATTCTTGTCTGATATTATTGAATAAAGTTGCTGATGATTAGAAATAAGATAACTACTTGGTATAATCAACCAACTCATTTTAGGAAATAACGAAAAAAGAAAGAAAGAAAAGGAATTGCTAAAAGATAGGCGTGGTGATATCCACTTGTTGTAATGTGACACGCGTGGCAGATCTTACTATTGTTTCTCTCTTGATAGTTCATTCAACATTTTAGCAAAAAGCGAAAAAAAAGAAAGAAAAGGAATTGCTAAAAGATGGGCGTGGTGATGTCCACTTGTTCTCATGCGACACGCGTGGCAGATCTTACTACTGTTTCTCTCTTGATAGTTCATTCAACAAAATGAAACATCATATTCTTTTTGTCATTAGAATATTATGATTGAAGAATCATAGCTCAATGCACGTGAGCTTAGTCGGAGAATTCAAGACCTTACTTTGGGCAATTCAAATGAGCCTAAAACAAGCATGCACTGTGTCATACCATGAGCAATTAGCAAACTTATTTTGTCGAAATTAATCAACGGGCCGATCAATATAGTCATTTGACATGAACCCTCATTACAACTTGAGAAGATAAGAAGCCATCTCTTCATGTTCCAACCACGTTAGTTTGACAAGTACCAAATGTCGCCTAAGATTATTAGGAGTTTGTTAGTCAAGAGAAATCAGAGAGAGGGGAACCAGAATCAGGTGAAAGGTGGGAACACAAGGGAACAATGTTTCATCTTAACATTTTAAGCATATAATGTCAGCATTTGAGCTTCAATTTTAACATTTTCTTCCAGTTCCCCCCAAGAAAGTAGTGAAATATGACCAAGCATCAGAGTAACAAATCAAAATAATCAAATACCAAAAAATGAAGAGTTTTAGGTTAAAAGAATCGTTACATGAGATGCTGAAGCTGATTGACGGAGTCGACGTCCTCCGAATTAATCAGGGTTTTGAACTGACACGAAACTTCTTCAGATGCAGACTTAATTGCTTCTTTCTCTTCCTCCATCTCCAAAAAGCCACAGTCTTTCCAGCTCCAACGGCTCACGTTACCCTAATCCTGCTCCATCACGCACCTTTCGGATCGAGCACGTGGACTTTGACCTCGGATCCCCAATAAAGTCGAATTCCAGTAAATCAAGCCAATTACGAGCTCCCGCAATCGAAATCGCCTCGAAATCGAGCCCAAGACCGGTCAAATCGCCCAAATTCAAACCCTAATCGCTCAGAAACGAGTAATTCAAACCCTAGCCCACAGTCACGTCGCCATCCAAACCCCCCCAAATTAAAAGCACCGGGATCCCCGCCGACCGTGTAAGGGATCACTGTAATCGCTCAGAGATCTGAAGAAGAGAGAGAAAAAAGATGAGTTTTTTTTTTGTTTTACAGCGGGGAATCGAGATTTATGGCGGGGTAAAAGCTGTGCACGCCTCGAAAGCTGAATCGAGAGAAAGCCCGTGAGCGCGGCTTATAGTCACCGCCCATGGGTCGGATGCCCATGGATGAACTCATGCCATGCAGTGGCATCTCGTAATAAGCGTCAAAATCGAGGGCATGCTGTTTAGCTCAGAAACCAGTGTCATACGCATGCTGCTCACCGCCTGGGTACACTGACGACAGCAGCTCTTTTGAGGCTGCTGATGCCACCAGGCTTTGCCACGTGGATTTTGATAGAAAGAGTTTTTAAATCTATAAATTCGAAAGAAAAAAAAAATCCTTCCATTTTACGCCCATCCACTTTCAAAATTAATTTTTGACCCAGTGTAGTATTTTTCAATTCCATTTTGTACTTTTTGGCAAGTTTGTGGAGAAGAATATTTAAGTTGTAAATTGTTATGTTTTGATAAGCTGATATGTCTAATTTTTTTATAAATTACTAAAATTTTCACTAATCGTTGTTAGCTAGACTCGGTCATGGTGACCAAATCAACGTTTGTTTCTCTGTTGAGAGAAAAGTGGGAACGTGGAATGGTTTGTTGAGAGGAAATCTCTCATGGGGCGGAACTGAAGGGGGTGGAGATAGTGGGTTTAGCCCCTATAAAAGGAGGGTTAATCTCCTTCAGAATACAAAGCAACGAAGAAAATAAAACCTCTTACCCATTACCGGAGCCCCCTTCAAAGATTCGTTCTTCCTTCTCTTCTGATTTCATTCACTGGTATCAGAGCGAGGTTGATCTTAGCACCGCCTTCTCAAGCTTGGAGTTCGAACGTCGACGACTGCTTCGTTTGACGGCTGTTTCACTCGACTACGACGACGACAATAGATCGACAACGACGACGCCTTGACGATCCTGCTGCGACTTCGACGACTGAAGGAGATTGGAGGCCATCGGTCGAAGCTCGAGATCCAGAATTTTTGAAGAAGAAGGGAGAGAAAAAGCCAGCCGCCTCTTGCCCTTTTGAGGTTAAAAAAAAAAAACCCTAGCTGTATCAGGTCTGATCATTTGTCACCCAGACCAAGTTTTCCTCTTCTGAGTTTTCCTCTTCTGTTTCGTTTTGAAATCAAAACCTGTCAGGCCCACTTTCACAAAAGCCTGTCAATCTTTTGTTTTGTTGAATCAAAGCCAAACCCCATCTTCAACAATAGCCTAGCCCATCTGTTTTAAACCAAACTACTTTATTTTCAAAGCCCACATTAATATATCCCACTTGAGAAACGACAGCATCAGGCCCATTTTCTTACATTCATTTGAGCACCCAATTCCTTTTTGATAAGCAGAGCCTTTTCATACCATTAAAAAAAAAAAATAGCTGTATCAGTGGAATCTAACGACAGCAACAGATCATCCACATATAAGGTCAGAAACGACGACAAAACTTCGACAAGTACTGATCCAATCAACTCCGCTGAGTGATAATCTCGCTAAAATTGGAGTCTCTTTCATCAACTCGGAACAATCAGGTTCATTTTTATTTAATTCATTTTTTTATTATTATTTAGTATTATTGTCAAAATATCAATCTTATACAAATATTTAAAATTGAATTTAGTTTTAGTTCTCTACCGCATGGCTAGTAAACTCGTTCTATCAGAACTAGGGAAAATTGACAAATTTAATGGCAGTAATTATGATATGTGGCATAGAAAAATAGGATATGCTCTTATTCATGACAACATTGATGATATAATCGAAACCACTGCTCCAACCCTTACTGATAAATCTACACCTGAAGAAAAGAAAGGGTTTGAACAGTGGAAGTCAAAAGATAAAAATACGAAAAGTCTTATGCTCATGTTCATGGAAGATAATTTAATCAAAGTTTTTGAAACTTATAAAACTTCCATGGACATGTGGAATGCAATAAAAGAAAAATACGACACTGCTTCTGAAGTTAACATTCAACTCCTCTTGCATAAGTATAATTCTTGTCGTATGCAAGAGGGAGACAATGTCGTAGAGCATATAAATAAAATGATTGTCATGGCTAAGGACTTATCCACTGCTGGGACCGAAATCCCGGAAAGAATGCAAGTGGCAACCATTTTGAATAGTCTTCCCCCTTCACTTGTTGTGGCTTCCACCACGTTAAGAATGAATCCTGCCATTAAGTCTGTCACTGATCTTCCTATGCACCTAACGATAGAACA